AGAGAGAGAGAGAGAGAGAGAGAGAGAGAGAGAGGTGAGGGGAGATTAAGAGTTTCATTTGGTCTTCTGAATGCGAGAACGTTTTTATTGAACATAAACTGTTTTTCGCGAAGATAACGCCCAGTGTCCCTTGTTTTGTATGCGGGATTGGCTGTGTCACTGTGGACGACTAATATAATATTCATGTTTCTCTTCTTCTCCAATCTTTTAGCGGTTTATCGGGAGCTTGAAGCGGAGAGAAAATTGTCCCTAACACTGGGCGAGGTAAATATTCTTTTAATACTTGTTTATGGGGATGCTTATTTTCCTCCATTTTTTGTATCGTTATCCTGGCAACGGATTTGTCTTTCAAGTGACATTTTGCTTTTTGTCTTTACGTAACAAGGTATATCTAAACGAAAGCAAATTTATTCTAAACCTGTTACAGATAATCCAACATCAACAGTTTTGTAAACTGCTGTGATTAGACTAGCACCTGCAGCAGAAACAAAAATAGCTAGCAGCAAAGACTGTTTCATACAAAAATGTTTCTTTTTTGCTTTGTTCTGTTTTGTTTTCTTTTTGTCTTCAAATTATGCGCATGATGCATAATGCGTTGGTGGATTACGAACACATCTTTGACCAAGCGATGTGTTGTAAGCAGATAATTTCTATATAAAACATGTTTATAGGATAGTAAGCGATATACCAACTATAATCCCCTCCTCCCCTGTATATTAAAAATATATTCTGAGCCCAATTCTTGTGGGCCAGTCGCTGTGGACTTGACACATTCATGAGCGTTTGAGATTTGGATCCAAACTGGTTCTACATGGTGTCTCTCGTCTTTCCAAAAATGTCTCTTCCACGTCAGCTGTTAAAATACTGACAAGGCACCAAGGGTTCTGTCATCTAAATGGGTCTAGCAGGGCAGTAAACGAATAACGTTGCTTGTATGGTCGCATGCAGGAAACATTCCTGCTGAAACATAAAAATTAACTTCTGACGCTTTTCCTTTTGTGATTAGTCCAATATATCTTCTTTAGTACTGTAAATAAGCTGTGCTCTCTTTGTCTTCCCCAGTGGATTTACCTCGGCTTCAGAAGCTGAATCTGACGAGTAAACAAGGAGTTCACTTCCCCGACGCACAGTCAAAGCGTAACTACTGGAGATGATCAGTCTCTAAAAGCCCGCTCATCGCTTTGCCAAGAGTAACGCCATTTCTCAAAGAGGGGAAATGTAGCAGTGTACGCTATAATAGAAACAAGGTGCAGAGTATGCCAATTTGTCGGTTTGATTCTGAAAACTGAACATTTGGATCCCAATGTTATAATTTTTGTACATGCTAGACCATAGAACTGCGATAATGTTTTTAAAAATTTTTTAAGAATGACATCCAAAAGAGCGTGGGCAGCTATCCATAATTTCCCGCCTTGAAGATTTGTAGTCATATTTTTAGAGGAATTTTGTCCTTTTTAAAATTTCGTTTTAAAAGTTGAAGTTTTAAAATTATTTGGCCACTGGAAATACCCCTACATGTGTATTACATGTAAGTCCGAGCATCTGCACAATGCAAAGTCCTCTTTAAAATCAACATCACTAGAGATAGCCATCCACGTGAAGCGCTGAAATACATCATATTTTTGTACTTATAGCATTCTGTTCTCCGTGGCGGCCCTTTTTGATGTGTGTCATATATTTTCCCAAATCTATTTACAACTTTATGCAACAACAAAAAAGCAAAAGAAAGAAAACCCTCCATAACCCCAAGAAAACCCTCCATAACCCCAAGAAAACCCTCCATAACCCCAAGAAAACCCTCCATAACCCCAAGAAGCAGCTGCGACGTTTACTTGCTCTTGTTTTAGCCTTTTGTTTTTAAAATATGACTGTTGTGTTGTGTTATGTACATATGCCTACGTTATCGCACGTTTAACAGCTTCATGTGTATTAGCTGTCAAACGTGCTAGGTACTCCATTTTATTGCATTTTTAGACATTTACATTTTTGTGTTCTACTAACTAGTTTTCATTTTTATCCTTTTGCGTTGTGCCGTTTAACTTGGAAATATTATATTGTCCATGCTCCCTAAAGTCACTGTCACCCCAGTCCACCTTCATCACAATCTCTCAGCAGTGTGTTCTTTACCCACGCAATTTTATTCCAACGTAAGTGTCACAAGGTGCCTTCGTCTCACAGCATTACATATTCTAAGACGGGTAATGATCATTAAAATTGTACTTCCCTGTCATACTTTAAATGCTAATTTCGCTAGTCGTTTTATTTCCATCAATCCGACTATGACTAAGTCAAAGATTGCTCTGTTGTTAGGTAACCCGTTTCTTTTTTTTTTTATTTGGTGCATGTTTGTCGTCTGGATAGAACTGAGTTTTTCTCCTCAAATTTCTGATTTTTATTTATGTCAGTGGTGATTTTTGCTTCTTAAATCCCTTGTTTTTCAAATGTTCAACTCAAGTGAGTCTAAGTCGTGAACTGGTTTGCAATGTTAATCTTATCTACTTTCAGCCTTCGTGTTTACATCGTACAAAGAATCATAACTAATGCACTATCCTTGATAGTGCTTATTCTTTTTTTTTAAAGGTGCTGAAATGTCATTTTACAGAGGAGCAAATGCTGAATTGTTCCAGCAATGCTCAAAATAGCGGACCCGTAAAGTTGTTCGTTTTTTGTGATTTTTGTTTGTTGTTGTCACAAAAGAATGGACCATATTCCCATATTATTTACAAGAATAAAAAGGTAAACTTTGTATTGGTCTCATTCTTAAACAAAACATGGCTCCTTTGTTCTCTTTTTAAGCGGTGCCTGTTGTGTTCAAGTTTTAGTCACCTTAATAGCGGACACAGTCGATAGCTCAGTTCAAGGAAGGTCTACAATAATACATGTATGAGGTACCAATATCTTATGAGATAACATTCTTTCTCGTGATTCTGCTCGGAGATGAACTATTATTAAATGAAAAGTTTTTGTTTATCTTAATTATTTTCGATAAGATGCTGAACGAAATCCTTGTATTTCCTTATGCATGCAAATTTTAACGTTTACAATTTATAGACGCCAAGATTGCACAATTGCCTTCATAGTTTTTTAACAGTTGTATAGTGTTTTATCAAAGCCTATGATATATATTATCAATATATTTTAGCAATGCTATATCACAAAATGCAGTGAAAAGCTTGATATAGACAAGTCTGACAAAGTTTAATGAACTGCATTTAACCGACCTCCTTTTGACCAAAGGTGCACGCTAACCTGTAAAGAAAGTGGGCATAAAGTGGGTCCATATAATAAAACAATTGCAATTCTCAGTAATTATTCAAAATTTGTCTGAAAGGTGCTTTATGTCTTTACTTTTTAAAATTTTTGCTGAATTACTTATGCATTCAATACGTGCAGCATAATAACACCATCAAAACTGCCCAACTTTCTTGTTACTTTTCATGAAGTATTTTGTTCAGCCTTCATTGGCTAGAAATCTCTTTTTGTCAAGCTGTGAAATTATTTACACATATCCCTGTAAAAATAATATGTTTTTGTTACGTATGTTGTAGTGTTAAGTTCTTTTTCCCATACGTCGTTGTGTTTCGACTGCTTTATATGCCTCTATTTCTTGGGAGCGGATTTTACTGTGATCTCTGACACTAAACCATGTACTGATAATAAAAATCTCTATGCTTCAAGCATCAAAACACCTGGAAACTACGCCAATTTTGTTTGTGTGAGTGTAACAGCCTACTACTACTACTACTACTACTGCTACTACTACTACTACTACTACTACTACTACTACTACTACTACTACTACTACTACTACTACTACTACTACTGTG